GAGCCCAGGAGATTGAGGTTGCTGTGAGCTAGGCTGACACCACAGCACTCACTCTAGCCTGAGTAACAAAGTAAGACCCTGTCTCTACTAAAAATAGAAAAAAATTAGCCAGATGTTGTGGCATGCACCTGTAGTCCCAGCTATTCCAGAGGCTGAGGCAGGAGGATTGCTGGAGCCCAGGAGTTTGAGGTTGCAGTAAGCTACAATGATGCCATTCCTCTCTACCTGGGATGACAGAGCAAGACTCTGTCTCAAAAAAAAACCCAAAGTTACATAAATAGTTGATATTCCAGGGATAAACCTCTGATACCTGGCAAAGTTGGCTTTCTAGAACATCTCCTATCCTAATCAGTTTTGCCACAATTTGCCATATTTTTTTCCTTTTTTGTATTTGTAGTGCTTGTTTCTCTGTCATTGCATGTTCTTACCCACTTGCAGTATGAAGTCTTTTGTTTATAGATTTTAGGAATATTATCAATATTGTAATTCCATACTTGCTTTTGGTCCTTTTTATGGGGTACATTCCTTTAAAAAAAATGTCACGAGAACCTCCTAATATGGAACTAGCCTGGGTGCTTCATTTGTGACTAAAGACCAAATCCATATCAGAAATTTCAGTGCAGTAAACAAAATGTTTTTGCACTTTAGAGCTGCAGTTCTCAACCCCTGGCTGAGTCCCACTACCGGTCCATGGTCTGTTAGAAAACAGGCCACTCATCACTGCCTGAACTCTGCACATCCTCTCCCCACCCACAACACCCCACCCCACCCCACCCCAGCCCCTGACTCCGGATCCATGGAAAAATTGTCTTCCATGAAATTGGTCCCTGGTGCAAGAAAAGATTGGGGACCACTGCTTTAAAGGACTGCTTACTAATTTTGGGCACTGTGTGTTTAATATGGGAGATTCTTCCAAACATATGGACAGTCCCCTTGAGTATTACCAAATGGCAAACGATTTGTTTAATAGTGAACCTGCTTTCTGAAGGATAAAAAGGAATAGATTGCTTGTACACTGAAAGAAGCACGTATTTTTTAGACCAGAAAGGACTTGCCTTACTTGGTCCTAAGAACTATAACCTGACTTAGACCTGTCTTGAACCAGAGGACTGAAATACGGGTTTATTTCAGTAAACACCTGTAATCCCAGCACTTTGGTAGGCTGAGATGGGATGATCATTTGAGGCCAGGAGCTTCAGACCACCCTGAACAACATAGCAAGACCCTCATCTCTGCAAATAAAAAAAGTTTAGAAATTAGCTGGGCGTGATGGCGCACGCCTGTAGTCCTAGTTACTGAAGAGGCTGAGACAGGAGGATCGTTTGAGACCAGCCTGAGTAACATAACAAGACCCCATTTTTACAAATAAAATTAAAAAATTAGCCCGTAAGTGACAAGTGCCTGTAGTCCCAGCTACTTGAGAGGCTGAGGCAGGAGAATCTCTTGAGCCTAAGAGTTTGAGGTTGTAATGTGCTATAATGATGCCACTGTGCTGTAGCTGGGGCAACTGAGCAAGACTCTGTCTCAAAATTTTTTATAAGATGGAGTCTTGCAATGTTGCCCAAGCTGGTCTCAAACTCCTGGCCTCAAGTGATCTTCCCACCTCAGCCTCCCAAAGTGCTGAGATTACAGGTGTGAGCCACCTCACCCAGCCAGGTTAACCATTTTCTATGGATCCTTACAGAAAAATTTTTATGTATATTCAAACATGTATAATATGTTCATTTCCTGTGGCTACTGTAACAAATTACCACCAGTTTGGCTGCTTAAAACAGCAGAATTTGTTCTCTCACAGTTCTGGAGGCCATAAGACTCTAAAATGAGTATTATGCACCTGACACCAAGGTGTCAGCAGGGCCACACTCCCTCCAAAGGCTCTAGGAGAGAATTGGTTCCTTACCTTTTCCAGCTTCTGGTGGCTGCTGGCATTGCTTGGCTTGTGGCCACCTTACTCCAGCCTCTTCTAATCTTTCTCTGATCCGTCTACATATCACCTTTTCTGTTGTGTGTCAAATCTCCTTCCGTCTTTCTCATAAGGATATATGTGATTGCATTTAGGGCCCGCCCAGACAAACTAGGATAATTCCATCTCAAGATCTTTGATGAAATCACGTCTGCAAAGACTCTTTTTCCAAATAAGGTATTAATAGCATATACAAATTCTGATGTCTTTGGGGATCATTATCGGCCCACCACAAGTGTATATATTTTTTTTTTTTTTTTTTTAGACAGTCTCGCTTTGTTGCCCAGGCTAGAGTGAGTGCTGTGGTGTCAGCTTAGTTCACAGCAACCTCAAACTCCTGGGCTAAAGCAATCCTGCTGCCTCAGCCTCCCAGGTAGCTGGAACTACAGGCATGCGCCACCATGCCCGGTTAATTTTTTCTATATATATTAGTTGGCTAATTAATTTCTTTCTATTTATAGTAGAGATGGGGTCTTGCTCTTGCTCAGGCTGGTTTCGAACTCCTGACCTCAAGCAATCTGCCCACCTTGGCCTTGTCTTTATTGTTTATTTAGAACAAAAAAGGGATTAAACTTCATATTCTGTCTTGCAACTTTCTTTTTTAAACTTAATAATAGATTTCTTACACATTGGTACATTTGACCCTTGAACAACACTGGAGTTAGGGATTCCCCCTCCCCACCCATGGTCAAAACTTCACTTACAACTTTGGGCATCTCCCAAACTTAACCACTAATAACCTACTGTTAACCGGGAGCCTTACCAATAACAAACAGTGGATTAACACATATTTTGTATGGTATATGTATTACATACTGTATTCTTACAATAAAATAAGCAGAGAAAATATTATTAAGAAAATCATAAGGAAGAGAAAATATATTTACTAAATGGAACTGGGTCAATGTAAAGGTCTTCATCCTTGTCTTCACAATGAGTAGACTGAGAAAGAGAAGGGGTTGGTTTTGCTGTCTTAGGGATTGCAGAGGTAGAAGAAAATCCACATACGAGCCAACCTGTGCCATTTGAACCCATGTTCAAGGGTCAACTGTAGTTATTTAGTATATACTTACTTTAGTCTTTATTATCTTTTTTCCCCTTAAATACCTACAGAGCATTTTGAGTCTCACTTTTATTTTGTGGTAAAAAAAATAACAACATAAAATTTACCATCTTAACCATTTTTAAGTGTACAGTTCTCATTAGTGTTAAGAATATTCACATTGTTATGAAACAGATCTCCAGAACTTTCTCATTTTGCTAATCTGAAACTCTATATCCGCTAAGTAATTCTCCTTTTCCCTTTCCCCTTCAGTGCCTGGTTACCACCATTTTCTGTTTCTGTGAGTTTGACTACTTTACATACCTGGTATAAGTGGAATCATACAATATTTGCCTTTTGGGGGGATATTCAGTGGATTTTTTCTCTCTAATTTTTAATTCACTCATAAGCACAACACTGGGTATTATCCATTTATGTGTGTGTGCACACACATGCTTATTGCAGTTACCTGGACTTGTACGTCACTAGAATGCTATATAACAGAAAATATTGGTCATACCTTTTGTGATAACAATTTATTGAGTATTTGTTTTGTATCACACGTTGGGAGAAAAAGATAATTAAGATACATGCCAGCCTTTGCCCTTGGGGTGCTCAAAATCTGATGAGAAAGGCTTTTCTGGAAACTATTACCTTTAGAACAGTGTGATAAGGTTGTTGGAAATATAACAAAAGAAGGTCTTAATTACCTGATTCAGAAGTATTGATCACAGTTATGTGCACTGTAGAATAAGATTGTATTGGCAGTTCAAAATCAGGCTATTTAAATCCTAATCAGTCTCTTTTTTTACTTGACAATTTTAGTCTAGAATTCTCTAAAACCTTCAGAAAAAGGGTCACCTGGGTCTGCTTGCTAGCAGAGCAGTCTTTATGCTGTCCTTTGAATCTAAATTTCTACTTGAATCCCTACCTGTGCTCGTATCTGGTCCCCTTTTTGGATATAGTGACAGTGGTCATGTATTAGGGATAGTCCAGTTTGGGATAGATGTTAGATTACTTAACCTCACTACATTGATTCCCATACTGATCTCATGATGGCCTATGGCTTTAGTAAGGTGTGTTTATTCATCTAAATTAGATGGAGAAATATAGACTTAAGAATCACATACATCTCATTCCTGTTGGTGTGATGGAAACATAAAATACAGTCAAACCTTGTAAACTAAGATTGAGGAAAAACTCCTCCTATGAAAGTTAAAACTCATTGATAACCTTTGGAGATCTCATAGACCAAAACTGAACTCCCTGAGATATTAATGCAGTTTCTATTACAATTTTCTTAACTATTCATATTAAGTTAGCTGACTGTGTATCATAATTGTATTTGCATGTAAGATTTCTTTACCTAACTAGACTTGTAGTGACTTCTTGCCCAGTTTTTGAAAGATCACATTTTCTCACAAGAAGAGAATGGTTATTTTTTTTCCCACTTCCTATTACCTTCCTACTCATCTTGTATCATTGTCTAGGATTCCTCGTGTTGTGAAGAAGGAAGTCGGTTAAAGGGTGAGGTGAAGCATTATACAGGCTGCAGGAATTATTTTCTGGGCCTTTTGAGTTGCCATTTGAAGAACTGCTCAAGTCTAAGGGAGGTTAATAGAATAAGCAGCTTACATATAATGAGGGGCTATCTATTTACTCTGATGCTTTACCTATTAGCTGCAGTAATATTTTTCACCCTTGGAGGAGGGATTAGGATTGTGATAGTGGGAGCTGGTCATCTCCTTTGTCTCCGGAACATTACCTTATGTTACGACGAAAAAAAGAGATCCACCCAACTGCGATGGAGTATTCTTAGTTGGGCCTTCATTTGCCTCTTGCCTTAGCCTGTGAGCTGTAAGCAGCGACCTGAGGCCTGCAAACCCCTGGGCGAAGGTGTGCGCGGTCCCTTTAAGCCTTAAGTGTGTGCGGGGAGGGGTCCTGTGGGTGGGGCGGGCACTCTGACAGCGGCGCTCTGGGCCCCGCCCCCGGAGGAGGTGTTTCCCAGCGGCCCGCCGCACCAATGCTGCCGCTGCTGCTTGCCTGGTTTTCCTGCTGATCCCGCTCGGACCTTAGGTCCCCCGACCTCTCCCTGCCCGGGGAGCGTAAGTGTCAAACTGCAGGCGAGGGGCAAATGTCCTGCGTCCGTGCCGGAAGTCCTGGTGCACAGTACGGGGACTTTTCTGGCCTATCAGAGGCAAAGGCGGCGAAAGAGCGTAAACAATGCCGGCTGCAGTGAGCTAAAGCCTGGGCATCTGCTCTACTTCTGGGTGGTGACAGTGGCCCTAGGGTGTTTGTTTGGATATGCAGTGGGTGAGCAGTCCCCAAGACCTGGCTTTGCCTCATCCTGGTTCCTACTTGGGGTGAGGAGAGGATTGCCTTTACCAGAGTATAACCCAGTTCCGCTGCATGGGTGGAGCTGAATCTACTGCCCTGGGCCTTGGGACCTTAGCCTGGTATTTGGAGACCTGGGTCGCTTCGGGATGAGTAAGCATTGGGTTTTTGAGCTATCTTGGTGCAGTTGAGTGATAACTCTCAAAGTTGTTCTAATTCACAGCCAGGTTTAGCTTTCCATTTCCCCAGAGGCCTGTGTTGGTATCCGGTCCCCTTTTTGGATACAGTGACAGTGGTCATGTATTAGGGATAGTCCAGTTAACCTTCTTTCCTGCTGATATGAATAGCACAATGTGAAAGAGACAGCTCTTTACTACTCTCATCTCTGAAGGAATTTGTGGGAGGCCACCGTCCCAGGACTAGGAAAACAAATGCACTGAAGTTTGTTGAGACAATCTGCTATAGAAGCAGTTCAGATTTCTGGTCTCTTGACTATGCAGAATACTCTAGCAAGAGGATAGCACTTGTCCTTGTTAATGGGGAATACCTGGAGGCAATGAGGTTTTTTAAATTTGAGGTAAAGGCTTGTCATTTTTGCTACCTGCTACTTAGAGATGGGATTTAGTGTCTCTGGCCAAATAATAAAAATCTTAAATTTTCTACAACAATTACATAATTATTCTTTAATACAGTTATCTTTCCTATAAATGGATTAAGTAAAGATTTCTAGGCATGTATGAGCATTCTGTTTTATCTTTGCTTATAATTAATTTTTTTTTAATGAGTCTCATCACACCTCAGTGAATCTTTCAAAGGAGTTGCTTTTGATTGGGCAGAAATTTTCCTCAAACTTGCCTTAGACTCATTTTGTGCTACTACTGTAGCATCTCCTTAGCCAGAAATGAGAGTCCAGGAATGGTAATCAAATCCAGATCTCTTGTATTGTGATAGTGAAGAGCTTTTGTAGGTCAAGAGCTTGGGAATTTGCCATAAAATAGTTGTATTGCCAATGCTTCTTTCTAAGTAGAAGGCTAAAACAATCCGTTTAGTAGCTCTATAATTACTCTTATAGATCTCAAAATACAGTAATTTAAAATAGAATAACACCACACTTGGGCCCTTGGATGGTAGGGAACATTGGTGGGCTGCGAGGTAGGAGACAGCTTTTAGGCCTAGCTCTAATATTACTTAGTCTCTCTGTCCCTTACTTTTAGCTGGTTGATGAATTGAAAATGCATAGATTGCTGTGGTCTCTATTTTATGATGGCACATAATGAGTATTTAATAGGAAATTTGTTATTTACTTGGAGACTAAGCTGTAAAATCAGACTGTTTGGAATTTCTTCTACCTTTATGTATAACCTTGAAAATATTTCTTAACCTCTGGTCTAAAAATAAACAGTTATATCTAAACCTTTTTCAGCAACAGTGTGGATTATATGGTACTTGGGCTCTTTGGAAGACATTTTTAGATAGATAGGTGGTGTGTGATTGTAATATTTCTGTAAAACAGATTTATTTTAGCTGGCCTCCTTGCTTTTGTCTTGTTTTAGACTGGGATAAAACCTCCTGAGAGATCTGAATAATTGAAATTTCCGAATATTTGTGGGGACTAGATTGAATGAACTATAATAAGCATTATGTATAGTTCAAATTAATTTTATTAATGGTTCTTTGTTGGCAATTTTATTTGCTCTTAATGCATCAAATTCTGCTATTTAATGAAAACTTGGTTTCTTATGTCTGTGTTTATAAAATCCAGACCCCTCTGTTCATCTCTACTGCCACTTCCAACCACTTGAAAATCATATTTCTCATATCTGAAACCAAACTCATCATATTCCTCAAGTTTCCCCCACTCCACCCAAAATAAACAATCCAGAACTTTCTTCTGATGTATTTTTCTGTCATTAGCACCATTATTCTCCCTGTCTCTCAAACTGGAGCCTCTTGCTCCCTACTAGACGCTTCTTCCCCTTAGTCCCATATCCTTAGTTGCTAAGAGTTATCGATTCTACCTCTTTAATATAACCCTCTTCAGTCTCTCCTTCCCACCCTTTCTGTTCCTACTGTCAAAGACCCTTAGTTCTGGCTCCTATTCGTCTTAGCCCTGTAGTACTACAATAATTTTTTATCAAGACTCTACTTTCTATCCCTTCCAATTCATTCTACATAGATTTTTCTAAAATAGATAAGATCGTGCTTCAATTCATCAGTATTCCCTGCTGTTTAGCTTAATATTAACAATTATCTCCATGATCTGACCTTGGTGTACCTTTCTGGTCTTATACTCTAATAAATGAAGCCATTCATGTTCTCTAAACATGATCAGTACTTTCCTATCTCTAAGACTTTGCCTTTCTTGTTTCCTCAGTCTAGAATATCTCCCATTGCACTCCAGTGTTCTAAAAAATTCTACCTAACACTGAGTTCAAATGCCATCCTTTCTATGTTGTCTTCACTAACCATCCCTTACTCACTGGTGGTCAGTCCCATCTTTATATTCCCATAACCCATATTTGTCCCCTGCTTATGGCACTTTCCACATACAATATATTTTGTATTATTTTGTTTATATGTCTTCTTTGTACTACTGTGAACTCTTTGAGGACATCATGGTTTACACATAGGAAAATACAGTGGATTAATACTTTAGGTAAATTGGAATGGAATAATCTGTTAATAAATCCTATTAGAAAGGACTCTAACCTTTACAGCCAACCCATGTACATGTAAAATGTTTGGTATCTTTAACAAGTCATTTTTATCTCCTCAGGACTTTTGTTAGTAAACATTATAACTTTGTTTTTTTAAACATATTTAGTTTACCTACTATATTATTTACCCATCGAAAGTGTACAATTCAGTGGCCGTTAGTGTATTCATAGATTTGTGTAACCATCACCATAATCAATTTGAGAACATTTTCATCCCCCCCCCTTTTTTTGAGACAGAGTCTCACTTTGTTGCCCAGGCTAGAGTGAGTGCCATGGCATCAGCCTAGCTCACAGCAACCTCAAACTCTTGGGCTCAAGCAATCCTCCTGCCTCAGCCTCCCGAGTACCTGGGACCACAGGCATGCGCCACCATGCCTGGCTAATTTTTTCTGTATATATTAGTTGGCCAATTAATTTATTTCTATTTATAGTAGAGACGGGGTCTTGCTCTTGCTCAGGCTGGTTTTGAACTCCTGACTTCGAGCTATCCGCCCACCTTGGCCTTCCAGAGTACTAGGATTACAGGCGTGAGTCACTGCTCCCGGCCTCATCCCCCTAAAAAGAAACTTTCACATCCCTTAGCCATCACCACCCTAATACCATAAAACACTCCAGTCCTAGGCAACCACAGATCTACTTTCTTTGCCTGTTCTGGACATTTTATCTGTACGGAATCATATATGTGGTCCTTTGTGAATGACTTCTTTTACCTAGCATAATGATTTCTAGATTCATCCGTGTTATAGTGTGTATCAGTACTTCATTTCTTTATGCTGCTAAATAATATTCCACTGTATGGATTTACCACATTTTATTAGTTGAGGAACCTTTTTTTGGCTATTATCAATGATTTTAATTTGCTGTACATATTGAAAACATTACTATATTTCTCTAAAGAGATTATTCAGGCTTTAACTTGTATGACCTTTTGTGAAACTGAATTTTTAAATCTACCATTTTATACTGACTCTGAGGTTCCTCTTTATTTCTTTGTATTTTCTGAATGTTCCCAAGGACTTTATCTACCTTTATGATAATTGTTAGAGGCAAAGTTTAGCTTTCAAATAAGTAGTCACTTTAATCTCAAGGAACAGTTTTTCTTTTCAACTGGTAGAATCAACTCTCAATGGAATAACAGTTGCCAGGGGTAGGGGTTGCACTGCCTGGATCACCCTAAATCACACTTAAACCTTGGTCATTCCTCTCTTGTCCACAGGCAGATTAACAGTGTTGTAAGGCCTAGCTGGTAGTTAAGCTTGATTATTAGGCAGCTTTTGATTAGGAGTGATTCTCTTTCCAACATCTAAATCCTTTTGGGGCAAATAAATTTGTCTTTTACATACACTGTCATTTATTCTTTATATTTTCATTGAGCTAGGTAATCACCAAAATACATCTTTTTATTTATAAAGTGTGAATAGTTTTCAGTGTATATTTGTTTAGAAACGATATGTAGATGCATTGTAGTAGTAGTAATCTTACTAAACTAGGAATCAAAGAAAACTCTTCTAGGCCACTCTACCCTACTTAAGTGACCTTAGGCAAGACACTTAACCTCACTAAATATCCCTTTATATAAAAAGAGGATAATGATACTTGCTTTATGTCACTTTTTTTTTTTTAGCTTTGTGAGGATACCGATGAATAAGACAAAGCTCTTGCTCAAGAGAATCTCATAGTTTAGTAAGGAAGAGCCACATAACTAAGAAAAATACCAAAAATGAAAAAGAAAGAAACCAAAATGAAGTAGTATAACAATGTACTTGTATATATTAGGAAATATATAGAACTGATTAAATGTATTCCTCACTACATTATCAAATAAGAGAATCGTCAAAATAATTGTAAAATATAAAGTGCTATTAAAATATAGGGTTGGTATTAACTGTCACTGTAAGTAGGGACTTTGGAATGATAGTACCCTAAAGTCTTTGAGAGTGGGTAGTCTTCGTGTGATCATAGAATTTAAAAGGTTATAGGCCAGGCATGGTGGCTCACACCTGTAATCCTAGCACTCTGGGAGGCCAAGGCCGGCGATTGCTCGAGGTCAGGAGTTCGAAACCAGCCTGAGCAAGAGCGAGACCCCGTCTCTACTATAAATAGAAAGAAATTAATTGGCCAACTAAAATATATATAGAAAAAATTAGCTGGGCATGGTGGCACATGCCTGTAGTCCCAGCTACTCGGGAGGCTGAGGCAGTAGGATTGCTTGAGCCCAGAAGTTTGAGGTTGCTGTGAGCTAGGCTGACGCCACGGCACTCTAACCAGGGCAACAGAGTGAAACTCTGTCTCAAAAAACAAAAACATTGTTTAAAATTATTTTAAAAATTAAAATAATGGGAAAAATTAGTAAAGTCCTTGTTTTCTTAGTATATCAATCCTAAAAAAAGACAAACACAAAGACTGACCAAGAGTGCTCAGTGTCACATGTATACACAAACACTATCCTTTATTTTAGTGGAAGTTTTAGTATGAAGCAGGCCTTTCCTAAAATATCATAAACAACAATTTTTTAAAACGCAAGCTATAAAGTAGCAGATGCTATTTCAGAAAATATAACACAGTGGCATCTAAATGTCATATGAGGCAGTTAGTTTGGATAGTCTTTTCTTGTTTCTAAAAGGAGACTAGAACCAATAGGAAAAAAGAAAAAGTATTGCAGTGAACTCATAGAATACTAACAATTGAATAATTATTGTTCACATTCTCTTGGTTGGAGAATGTTTTCAAAAGCTTTCATTGAGTACTTCTCTTTAAAAAACAGTCTTATAGAAAAAGATTGCTTTTGCCAAGAAAGTAAATTTAGAGGTTTTTTTTTTTTAACCCAGGCTGTATGTTAGTCACCTGGGGAACTTTTTAAGAAATAATTTGTCAAGGTGAAAAACACATAGCATACAGTTAACTATTTTAAATTGAATAATTTAGTGGCATTTAGCACATTCATAATGTTGTGCACCCGCCACCTCTATCTAGTTCCAAAACACTTCCGTTATTCCAAAGTAAAATCCTTTACCAATTAAGCATTCTCTCTCCATTCTGTCTTCTACCCAATGCCTGGCAACCACCAATCTGCATTCTTACTCTATGGGTTTACCTATTCTGGATAGGTAAAGTAGCACTTAAACTATATTATACCACATAGAGTCGTTCAATATGGGACTTTTTATGTTTGGCTTCTTTGCTTAGCATGTTTTTTGAGGTTTATCCATGTTATAACATGTATCAGAATTTTGTTTCCTATTATAACTGAGTGATATTTCATTGTATATGCAAACCACAAAGTATTCATCCATTGATAGATTTTTGGGCTGTTTTTTGGCTGTTGTGAATAGTGCTGCTATGAACAACATGTACAATACTTGAATACTTACTTTCAGTTCTTTTAGACACACCTAGAAGTAAATCATGGGGTCATATGATAATTCTGTTTAACTTGTTAAAAACCTATCAAATTGTTTTCTACAGCCAGACCATTTGGCATTCAACTTTAAAAATACACAGATCTAATAATTAATTTTTATTGTATTTTATAAACATATCAGTATACAGTTGATGGGAGCAAGGGGAAAGACAGGTCTTTACAGAGTTTGGAAGGTACTGTGTAGTTCATTGATTTTTTTCATTGGTATTTAATTATTCTTATACTCTGAATATACAGCTATTTAATCATTGTCCTTTTGATGAACATGTGAAATGTTTCCAACTTTTTTTTTTTTTTTCCTGGAGTACAGTGGTATAATCACAGCTCACTGCAATCTAAACTACTGGGCTCAAGTGATCCTCCTGCCTCAGCTTCCTGAGTAGCTAGGACTACAGACATGTGCCATCACACCCAGCTGATTTTTTTTTTTTTAGAGACGGGGTCTTGTTGCTATGTTGCCCAGGCTAGTTTCAGTCTCCTGGCCTCAAGCTATCCTGCCACCTCTGCTTCCCAAATTGCTGGGATTATAAGCATGAGCCACCAGACCTGGCCATAAATTGTGTTTTAATACTTTTCTTCCGTATGTTTTTTCTGTAGTTACTAAATTTTCTACAGTTAGCATACATTATTAGGCTAAGCACAGTGGCTTATCCCTGTAATCCTGGCACTCTGGGAAGCTAAGATGGGAGGATCGCTTGAGGTCAGAAGTTCAAGACCAGCCTGAGCAAGAACAAGACCCTGTCTCTACTAAAAATAGAAAAAAAAATTAGCCCGTCATGGTGGTGAGTGCCTGTAGTCCTCGCTACTTGGGAGGCTGAGGCAGGAGGAACACTTGAACCCAGAAGTTTGAGGTTACCATAAGCTAGGCTGATGTCATGGTACTCTAGCTGAAGCAACAGAGTGAGACTCTGCCTCAAGAAAAAAAAAAGCTGGGCGCGGTGTCTCACACCTGTAATCCTAGCACTCTGGGAGGCTGAGGCGGGCGGATTGCTCGAGGTCAGGAGTTCAAAACCACCCTGAGCAAGAGCAAGACCCCATCTCTACTATAAATAGAAAGAAATTAATTGGCCAACTAATATATATAGAAAAAATTAGCTGGGCATGGTGGCACATGCCTGTAGTCCCAGCTACTCAGGAGGCTGAGGCAGGAGGATCACTTGAGCCCAGGAGTTTGAGGTTGCTGTGAGCTAGGCTGACACCACGGCACTCACTGTAGCCTGGGCAACAAAGCGAGACTCTGTCTCGAAAAAAAAAAATTACTTTTTCTAATCAGGAAAAAAAAGGTATTATCTATCTAGACAGCTTAAAATTGTTAAAGGAATGTTAACTATAAACTGTACTAAGTAAAAAACGGTTCAAATATAAAGAATATTTATAAAGAAATAGTTCATTCAGGGACTCAATTTTATACTCATTTATATAAACATTGATTAGAGTCATATTTACCAGAATTAGGTAGGGAGATGGGTAGCATTAAGATTTTCCCACTCATATTGATTATTTTCTATAATTTTAGGTAAAAGTATAACTTTCTCTATAAGTTTTTCTCTCCCCTCCCCCTGTCACACTGGCTAAAGTACAGTTGCCTCATCATAACACACTGCAACCTCAAACTGGGCTCACGTTTGAGGGGATCCTCCTGCCTCAGCCTCCCTAGTAGCTGGGACTACAGGCTCGTGCCACCACACCCAGCTAAGTTTTCTATGTTTGGTAGAGACCGTGTCTCACCTCTTCCCCAGGCTGGTCTCAAACTCCTAGACTCAAGCGATCCTTCTGCCTCGGCCTCCCAAAGTTCTAGGATTATAGATGTGAGCCACCTGTACCTGGCCTGTAACTTTTCTCTCAGCCTTTTAAAAGGCCAGCTATCTCAGCTCTTCAGTTTTATTCTAGCTTCGTTATATATCTGAGAAGTTCTCATTTGGGAAACTGTAAGCATCATTTTTTCAAAAAACAAATATCTGTCCCTTGATTTAGATTTAAATTTTTTGATGGACTTTTTAAATGGTCTACTAGTGGAATTAAGTGGGCATCTCACCAAAGAATGGGCTTTTTACTCTTGATGGTACATGTATGATAAAATAATAATCTCAGAAAAGTTATTTTGTCTTAAGAGACTGCTTGATTGCTAAATAGGTTTCTATTTTTATATGACCAGGAATTACTCTTAATTCTAAGAAAAAACTGGAAGCACAATGGGAGATGACAGTGAGTGGTTGAAACTGCCGGTGGATCAGAAATGTGAACATAAGGTAAGATTTTTCTGGAATTCAGATTTCAGTGTTATTGGCTTGTTTTGTCAGCATTTATCTTATCATCTTACTTAGAAGCATGTGAAAACATTGGCAATTTTAAAAACACTGATGCCTTGTTAGATATGTATTTTTTATCTCATTGAAAATAAGTTTCTCTATAATAGTTAAACGATTTTTTGAGTCTCTGGAAAGAACTCAAGAGTTATCAGTGAAGTGAAAAGTTAAGTTGTATCTATAAAATGTTACTACCTAGTTTTATCATCTACTACTACATACAGTACAATATAGTTTGGGTAGTTAAGTACTTAGCATTATTTTGTACAGAAATTCTTATTTGGAAATGTCTTCTGAATTTGACCTTAGAACTCCAGCATATTTTAGATTCTCTGACCTATATAATCAATATTCCAATAGCTAACTTCAGAAGCTATCAATCTTTCTTTGGTTTATTTTAATTTATCTTGACATAATTTAGTGGATATCCTTTTCAAATTATCTGTTTTTTCCCCAATTATTCCCCTGGTTTCCTTCATTTTTAAAACAGCAAATATCTACCATTTAGTAGATTTTGGAATTCCATTTCCTGTCGTGTAAATTTATTCTACTTAAAGTCTCAGGTTAACCATTTTATGTTCTTGATAGGTCTTTTGTTTTGAATGTCACTATTCAAGATTCATGATTGTTGATTGCTAAAAATACACAATCAATATATTAACCCACACAGTTGTATACATACAGTTCTACCTATGTAGAGTAGAAATTTGGTCTGTATATCCTCCACAGAACCACTCCTTCCTCCTATATAATATGTTAGCTGAGATTGAATGCCAGAGTCATAGATTAACATTTTTATTCTAATAACATAGAAATTATTGATATATAGTACATTAAATTGCAGCAAAACTAATTTTGGGGGGAATATAGAACCATAATTATTTGTAATGCTTTATTGTGATAGATATTATATTTTCTCACTGAAAAGGGCAGACAAAATAGATAAATCTTAAAGGCTTTCTAATTTTTTTATTGGTTAGTATATGCTAAGAGCTTTTCACTCTAGTGTGATTTGGTACAATTTTTTTCTATTTGTTGAAAATGTATTATGTATTTTTAAAACTTAAAGAATAGAGATGTTAAATCTGGTTTAAACTGGTTGGTAAATGTACAACTGTGACATTAATTATGTTATACTTTTTTTTAAAATTAATTAATTAATTTTCAGACAGAGTCTCACTCTGTTGCCTGGGCTAGAGTGCCATGGTGTCAGCATACTCAAGGCAACCTCAAACTCCTGGGCTCAAACAATTTTCCTGCCTCAGCCTCCCCAAGAGCTGGGACTTATAGGCACATGCCACCACGCCCAACTAATTTTTTCTATTTTTAATAGAGATGGGATCTCACCCTTGCTCAGGCTGGTCTCGAACTCCTGACCTCATGTGATCCTCTCACCTCAGCTTCCCAGTGTGCTAAAATTACAGGCATGAGCTACCAGCGCCTGGCCTGTTATACTTTAATGTTACAAAATGTGTAGTGTCTTCTTCCTTAGTACTTAAAAGCATTCTATAGTGGGTTAGGCAGCATTTTTTCCTTAGATGAAAAGTTTTTTCTTCCAGCATAATACTTGCCCCAAATTACATTTTCATTTAAACACATATAAATTATTTCTCTTATTTCTCAATCATGTGGTGATTCTTGAGCTCCTGATTTCAAGCAGTTCTCTCACCTCAGCCTCCCAAGTAGCTGAGACTATAGGCATATGCTGCCACACCCAGATATTTTTTTTTTTTTTTTTTTTCTTAGAGACAGGGTCTTGCTATATTACCCAGGCTGGTCTCAAACTCCTAGCCTCAAGTGATCTTCCTGCCTCAGCCTTCTGAGTTGTTTGGGATTTATAGGCGTGAGCCACCATGCTCAGCCTTGTCTTTCTTTGATCTGATAAAGTGTTGAGGACAAATATGTAATTCTCAACTAGTGCCAAACACAATAAATGCAAATTTGATCATCTCACAAACTAACATCTCACTTAAACTCTCCCTAATCATCTCAGTGCTTTCTTATTGCTCTTAGAATAAGGATCAGAATCTATCATTTGGCTTTCACAGTCCTGCATGGTTTGGCCCTTTCCAACCCTCTCCAGTTCATTTTGTATCATGTTCCCCCTCTCTTTATAGGAATGGGAAATACCATATTCCCTACTAGTACAGGGCCTTGGAATATATTGTTTCTTCTCCCACCTAGAATGTTCTTTCTATTTGCCACTTTTTCCTGATTAGTTGATATTTATCTTTTAGAGTTCAGCTCAATTACCAGTTTCTTAGGAAAACTCTTTGTTATATTAAGACCAAATAAGCCTTCTGTAGTACACACTTTCACTGTACAAGTTTCTTCTCTTTTGTAGCACTTAATGCTTTGTTAATTTTAAATTTATTTGTATGATTGATTAATTTCTCTCCTAGAATGTAAACTCCACAGGGACAAAGGCTGTTGAATAAATTAATGAAAAAAGAATACCTCAGTAAAGGTATCTGAAATCTACTGGTTAAAATTAGTAACTTTTTAGCCAGATGTGGTGTCTTGTGCCTGTAGTCCCAGCTACTTGGGAGACTGAGCCAGGAGGATTGCTTGAACCCGGGAGTTCAAGTTCAGCCTGGACACTATAGCAAGACCCTGGCTCTTAATAAAAAATTAATGTTTTTGGCCAGGGTGGTGGCTCACACCTTTAATCCTAGCCCTCTGGGAGGCCGAGGCGGGCAGATCGCTCAAGGTCAAGAGTTCAAAACCAGCCTGAGCAAGAGCAAGATCCTGTCTCTACTAAAAATAGAAAGAAATCAATTGGCCAACTAAAAATATATATAGAAAAAATTAGCTGGGCATGGTGGCGCATGCATGTAGTCCCAGCTACTCGGGAGGCTGAGGCAGGAGGATCGCCTGAGCCTAGGAGTTTGAGGTTGCTGTGAGCTAGGCTGATGTCACTGCACTCTAGCCCAGGCAACAGAGTGAGACTCTGTCTCAAAAAAAAAAATTAATGTTATTGGTTAAAGATATATAGTATAGTATAAAGCTGCCTAATGATTACACAAATACAACCAAAAAACAGCATATACTTTGGAGACTGGACAGTTTCACTAAAGTGATTTCTCATATTTGAGCTGTCATATATTTAATGTTGTATTAATATACAGTGAAAGTACAGTGTACTACAGAAGGCTTATTTTGCACAGTGTACAAGTACAGTGTACTACTTTCACTTGGTACAGTGAAAGTGTGTACTATAAAAAGCTTATTTTGTCTTAATATAACAGAGTTTTCCTAAGAAACTGGTAGTTGAGCTGAACTCTAAAAGATAAATACCAACTAATCAGGAAAAAGTGGCAAATAGAAAGAACATTCTAGGTGGGGGAAGAAACAAAGACGTAATAACTAATGCTTGGATACAAAATGAGATACATTTATAATGGCCTGTTAAGAATTTTAGGTGACCTTGGCAGAGCGTCGTAAATATTAAATATTGGTAAGAAGTTTATTAGCTAGTCTTTTTTGAAAACTATCTGAATTTCTTAAACTCTTTTTTTGTTTCCAATTATGGAATCCTTTATTTAAATTACCTGGGTATTCATTTTTACTCCCCCTCCCCAAAATTAAAAGTAGATGGTAATATCATTAAATTTATTACTTTTCTTTTAGCTGTGGAAAGCAAGGTTGAATGGATATGAAGAGGCCCTGAAGATCTTCCAGAAAATAAAGGATGAAAAGAGCCCAGAATGGTCCAAATTTTTAGGATTGATCAAAAAATTTGTCACTGATTCCAATGCAGTGGTTCAATTGAAAGGATTAGAAGCTGCACTTGTTTATGTTGAAAATGCCCACGTAGCAGGAAAGTAAGTAGTTTCTTTCCAATTATTCTGGCAAAAAAACCCTGTCTGGTGCTACATAGATTATGTATCTTTGTAGATCACTATCCTTAGTTATTAGAAGTTTTAGAATATATTAATTTCTTATTTTTTATAATTCCTTGATACTTGTTTTCCTTTCAGTCTTGATCTGTTCTCAGAAGTCTAAATGGTATATGAGATCTCTAAAGAGAAGTAAATTAGTAATCACATCTTCAGGTTTTTACTGTAAAGTTTGATGAGCAAGTGGTTTTCCTTTTAAACTTTTTGTATGTGAATTATTCTGAACTAAAAGGAAAAGTCTTTAGTAACTTCTAAAAGAAACTGAGAGGTTGTCAATAAAAGAATTACCAGAATTTCACTGAAGATATTTGGGCATTACAAAAAACTAAATTTTTTACAAGGGTTCTCAGCTAGGTGATCTTAGAATCACATTTTTCTCTCTGTAGTCATTAGGCATTTTTATCTCTTAGGGAAGGTAATAGTAACTAAACAATCTTTGTGACTTCTATTCTGTTTGACTTGATCTATGGATGACAGACGTTTCTAGTCACCCACTCTCCCATATCTCATAGACCTGATTTTTCTAATTCTATCTTTTATGTCATTGAAAAGAACCCTCCTTACCCCCCCCAAAAAAAGTTGAGACCCCTGACTTTTAATTGCTCAAGACATATTTAATTGCACAAGAAATACGCTTACTTCAAAGATTATACCAATAAAAGTAATCATTAATGTGACAGTTTTTTTTTTTTATTTTATTTTTGTAAATAGAGATGGGGTCTCACTCTTGCTCAGGCTGTCTCAGACTCCTGAGCTCAAGCAATCCTCCCACCTCAGCCTCCCAAGAGTGCTAGGATTATAGGTGTGAGCCACCATGCCCGGTTCTTTTTAAAGAGTGTTTTTGGTTTTAAAAAAAATTTTTTTTTTTTTTTTTGAGACAGAGTCTCAAGTGCCGTGGTGTCAGCCTAGCTCACAGCAACCTCAAACTCCTGGGCTTAAGTGATCCTGCTGCCTCAGCCTCCCGAGTAGCTGGGACTACAGGCATGCGCCACCATGCCCGGCTAATTTTTTTTCTATATATATTGGTTGGCCAATTAATTTCTTTCTATTTATAGTAGAGACGAAGTCTTGCTCTTGCTCAGGCTGGTTTTGAACTCCTGACCTTGAGCAATTCGCCCGCCTCAGCCTCCCAGAGTGCTAGGATTACAGGCATGAGCCACCGTGCCCGGACGGTTTTTAAAATTTTTATTTTTTATTTTTAATGTGACAGTTTGATTAACCAGCATCACTGGATTTCTTTTGCCATAGTGAAACCATTGTTTTTTTTATTTCATTTTTCTTATACCAGAAACTCTTTTTGGACAGATTTCACATATAATCCCAATGTAGTGAGTTCCACTAATTCCCAGTAAGTACAGGTTTTATTTAATTTAAAAGAGACTCAAAGCAATAAAGTTACTATAAAGTCTTGCCAAGGAGTCAAGAGCATTATTTGTTATTAAAGGTACATATCTATTCCCTCTGTGAAGCAATTCTCTTGTCCTAAGAAGTGTTTAAAATGACTTCAAAAAATTTTTCTTTAAAGCAAGCATTCTGTAATCTTGCTTTTGTAAAATACATTTGTATAACCATATTTGCATGTGTGTGTATACACACATGCTTAGAGAAATGTGTGGAAGGATGAATATCAAAAAGTTGAAAGTTTTCTCTGGGTAGTGGAATTTCAAGGGATTTTTTCTTGTTTGAATTTTCTACATTATAAACATTTATGAACAGATATTATGTCTGGTGTGATATGTCTTAAACTTTCATGGTTTGCATAGTATTTTTAATGTTTGTGAATATAAAAAATTAAAGACTCATTTACTATATTTCTTAGTATTTATAAAAGTACTTATATATCTCCTTTCCATGACCTTTTCCCAGCTCTCTCTACTAAAGTGTGGCTTTTTCCTTTATAATACATATTACAGAACCACAGGTGAAGTTGTGTCAGGTGTTGTAAGTAAAGTGTTCAACCAACCTAAAGCCAAAGCCAAGGAGCTAGGCATAGAGATTTGTCTCATGTACATAGAGATTGAGAAAGGAGAGGCTGTGCAAGAAGAGCTCCTGAAAGGCCTGGACAATAAGAACCCCAAGATCGTAGTAGCCTGTATAGAGACTCTGAGGAAAGCCTTAAGGTAAGACTTTCTTTTTGCTTTGCTTCTATTAACTAGAGTATCTCAATTAAGTTTGGATTCCTGATTTAAACAGAAATGGAAACTGCTTAATTTGACTTGACATGCCACAACAACAAAGAAAGTGACCTGGAGAAAGAAAGTCATTCCTCAAGTGTGGCACCTCATATTGAGTAATTTTAGCCATCAAGTGTGTTGTTTAGTTATTTTACGTAAATCTCTTTCTCATGAAGATGAGCAGAGAATATTTCTGATGTGTTCTCAGATTAAGAACTGGCCTTTTGGTAGAAAAGCACTCCTCAGAGTATATAAGCAGCTTTTTTTCTTCTGCTATCCTCAAGTATGGACTTACATACTTTGAAATACTGGCTAATGACATAGTTTCTTGACTAAAGCAAACATTTATTTAGGTCCCTTTTTAGTAAAGTAGAAGCAAATGCTATATGCCTTTAAACAGAAGCATAGCAACAGCAAATAGAAAATAACTTTTACTCTTATGTAATAAGTTATTTTCAACCCTAGAATTTCTTGTTGTTTGGCAATGAAATTTTTCATGAATGGAATCTCTTTCAGGAACAAGTGGCTGTAATTTGCTGTGGAAATCTAAATTAGACAAATCACTAGTTTGTTCAGATTTGGCAATCCTTCTAATCTGATATCCTGTTCCCAATACTATCTACATGAGGTACTTTAGAAAGCAGCTATAGTGAGATCCTAATGGAGTGAAGATCATCCCAAATCAACTCTCTTGTGATTATGTGTATGACCTATATCTGGAAAAAAAATGTTTCCTTTGGTGTTTATTTTATGTGAAAGTATAAAAACTCTTGAACTGTCTTTGATTTATGTCTTTTATATTGTCTTTTGCTTTAATAATGTTCTTTTATAAAATCTTTCACTTAGATTATTATGTGATCAATTTTTTCCTTGTTTCTAGCCTATTATGGGCACATGTTTTTGTGAGTGGTTAATAGCATGTTCATTCTTTCATCTTAGAAATTTAGTGCTGTAGTCCCAGCTACCTGGGAGGCTGAGGCAGGGGGATCGCTTGAGCCCAGGAGTTTGAGGTTGCTGTGAACTAGGCTGACACCATGGCACTCTAGCCTGGGCAACAAAGTGAGACTCTGTCTCAAAAAAAAAAAGAAAAAAAAAAAGAAATTCAGTGAATTGACTTAGTTATCAGGACTGTGCTTGTAGTAATGTCTTAAGAAAAACATATATCATACTATAATCTTTTACCTTTAAATTAGAATTTTCTAAGGTGGAATGCTATAAAACTCTGGTTATTTCATTTTTAAGCTAACTGGAAGAATAAAGGTAGGAAAAAAACAAGTTAGGTATATCTTTTTGTATTTTCCTTATAAATGTTGTTATTTAGGCTGGGTGCAGTGGCTCATGTGTGTAATCCTAGCACTCTGGGAGGCCAAGGCGGGGGGATTGCTTCAGGCCAGGAGTTCCAGACCAGCTTGAGCAAGAGCAAGACCCCATCTCTACAAAAAATAGAAAAAATTAGCTGTGCATCACTATGCTTCTATAGTCCCAGCTACTTGGGAGCCTGAGGCAGGAGAATTGCCTGAGCCTAGGAGTTTGAGGTTACATTGAGCTGTGATGATGCCACTACACTCTAGCTGGGGCTAGAAGTAAAAAAAAATTGTTATTTAATCCCATCCCTGTTTTTTGTTGTTGTTGTTGTTTTTTTTTTTTTTCTTTTATTTTTTATACCTAGAAAGCCCCAAAGATTTTTTTTTTTTTTTTTTCTTTTTGTTGTTGTTTTTGAGACAGAGTCTCATAGGCTAGAGTGCCATGGTGTCAGCCTAGCTTATAGCAACCTCAAACTCTTGGGCTCAAGTGATCCTCCTGCCTCAGCCTCACGAGTAGCTGGGACTACAGGCATGCGCCACCATGCCCGGCTCATTTCATATATATATATATATATTTTTTTTTTTTTTTTTTTTTTTTAGTTGTTCAGCTAATTTCTTTCTATTTTTTTAGTAGTGACGGGGTCTCACTCTCGCTAAGGCTGGTCTTGAACTCCTGAGCTCAAATGATCGCCTGCCTAGGCCTCCCAGAGTGTTAGGATTACAGGTGTGAGCCACCACGCCCAGCCCCTATGTGGTTCTTTATTTGTCCTAAAGCATTTCTGAATCTGTAGTGGAACTAGTTAGCTTTCTGGGACTCTCAACTGCTCTATCCTAGGTTCCAGAGCCTCCTAAAGCTTTGTTAGTGATAGCTTTGAGTGACCAGAAACATTCTGTGGCACCTAAAATAGGCTTCTAGAACCCTTTTGTCTTTTCTATAGTAATGTTTAGTATCAAAATTAGGTTTGTTTAATTAAGGTGTCTATTTTCCATGTGGACTTGTTCCATCTGTTTTCTTTTTCTTACAGAAGTAGGCTCCAGGATAGAGAAATGAAAAAGAATCAGATGAAACAGTAGTAATGTAAAGGAAGATTTTAAGAGATCACAAAAATTAGGTTCTTCAGGCACCATGTTAAATATCCTTAAAGCAAAATTGTTTATTATCACTATAATTACTTATTTTTCCTTTAGTTTTAAAGGTTAGCTGAGCCAAGTTAAAATATTCTTTTCTATTAATATAAAGAGTATTTAAAAAGAAATCTTAGAGATCATGTAGTTTATTTTCATGTTCTGATATCTATAATTAAACTGTATCACATTGCCAGGTGTCTTGCTAAAAATCCCTTTCTAGGGAAAGTATTTTCATAGTCTTCTTTAATCTGTTGGAGTATGTCAGTAGCTATTACTGAATAATTTTGTTGCATCTGTGCACATGAGATAAATTTGTGCACATTAGATAATATGTAAACAATGTATTTGGTTTCTACTATTCACACAGAATTTCAGTGTTCTTTCATAACTAAATCCTTCCTGCTCCAGAGTTGATATTCTGAAACATTAGTAGTGATATCAGACAGCTAAAATTGGCCATTTGGGAACTTGAAAATATAATTTGTGACAGATATGTAAGGTTAAATATACTATCTTTTTAAAAGAAGTCATAACACAACTATTTTCCCCAAGGAAAACTGAAACAAATTGAGATTTAAGTTGCTGGGAGTTACAGTGTGATAGCTGTAAAGTTGGGAATGAAACACTGTCAGGATTTCTGATCTAGCCAGTTGATTGAATTAACTTAATTATAGGAACTATTGGGAGTTTATTAAGAGTAGATTTCACTCATCTAAATATTTATAAACTAATTTGTTTAGATTTTTAAGCTTATATATATATATATAGATAGATAGATAGATAGATTTTTTTTTTTTTCGACATTACACATGTTGGTCCTATATGGGTTTGAATTATTTCTAGTCTGGTTACCTAGAAAGTTAGTTTTAAAATGGTAACATTATTTTGGGCCCTAGACATTAAATAATATTCTTTAAAGAATGACACCTAAATATATATGTGGTTATGAGTTCCTTTTCTTTGCTGCCTTAAAAAACTCAATTTATGTAATTCTTTTAATATATAGGTATGGAATAAAATGTTTGAATGAATCAATGAAAGCTAATGCTATACTCAAGCACATTGCTTATTGACAATTTTTCCTCCAATTTTTTACTTTAGTGAATTTGGTTCCAAAATCATCTTGCTTAAGCCAATTATCAAAGTGTTGCCAAAGCTCTTTGAGTCTCGAGAGAAAGCTATTCGAGATGAAGCCAAACTAATTGCTGTGGAGATTTACAGATGGATTCGGGATGCCCTGAGACCCCCATTACAAAATATAAACTCTGTCCAGGTGAGGCATAAAGTTTTCTGGGTGCTTTTACATAAGGTTAATATGAAAGTATTTTCTTCCTGTTGTTGATATTCTGTCCTTACACATTATTTTTCATTCTTAATTTTGAAATCAGTTGGTTTTTCTGAGCAACTTCCTCTGCTATTACTTTATCCTTCAAATTAAATACTATTCATTCAGTGATTCTAGTATGCTATGTTAAATTATAGCAGCTTAAAAACCTCTTTATTATAATTGTAATAGGTGGCAGGATTTACTATCCATTTGGATGAAATGCATTCTATCTGGCTTTCTTCGCAATTGATTTTGGAGTTACAATTGGTTTTCAAATGTTGCGACTATATCTGAATTCACAAACTAAGGAGTGTCTTAAAAAGTGGATTTTATTCTTCTTTCTTAGTACTTAGAAATACATATTCTGTATAGTAAATATAAGTCTGTTTGACATATGCTACAAAATACATACAATTTAAATTTATCTTGTTTGCTCTGTTAGAACCACATAAGTAAGGAATTGGGTCCTGATGCATTAGTAAATACAAGTATTAAGAATGTTCTCTAAGAAGCCTAAGGCAGGAGGATCGCTTAAGCCCAAGAGTTGGAGACCAGCCTGGGCAATAGCAAGACCCCATCTTTACAAAACATTTAAATTAGCTGGGTGTGGTGATGCGTGCCTGTAGTCCCAGCTACTCAGGAGGCTGATGTAGGAGGATTGCTTGAGCCCAGAATTTGAGGTGGCAGTGCACTATGATTGCACCACTGCTCTCCAGCCTGGGTGAGGGAGCGAGACCCTATCTCAAAAAGAAAAAGAAAGAAAGGAAGGAAGGAAGGAGGGAGGGAGGGAGTGAGGATGGATTGTTCTCTAATAGTGGAAAGGTAGATATGTTTTAAAAATATTTTATGATGCTTGCAGTTGAAAGAACTAGAAGAAGAATGGGTCAGACTGCCAACAGGTGCTCCTAAACCTACCCGATTTCTTCGTTCCCAACAAGAACTAGAAGCTAAATTGGAACAGCAGCAGTCTGCTGGTGGAGATGCTGAGGGAGGTAATCCAATTTTATACACTAGTTTTTGTAAAAACTAGCAAGAACTGGTACTGCCACAAGAATTTGTGTTCACTAGGCATATTTTGTAGCATTGCCTTTAATAAACTGTAAGTTGTATGTAGCATTAATAACATTAATATCCCTTCTCTATTAAGATTTCATCAGGAGGCCAGGCGTGGTGGCTCACGCCTGTAATCCTAGCTCTTTGGGAGGCCGAGGCGGGCGGATTGCTCAAGGTCAGGAGTTCAAAACCAGCCTGAGCAAGAGCGAGACCCCGTCTCTACTATACAATAAAAGAATTAATGTGGCACTGATATGTATCATAGAATCTACCGCCGGGCATGCCACGTGGCCGCATCTTGTAGTCCCCAGCTCTCGGCGAGGCCCTGAGGCAGCAAGGCTCCGCTACGCGGCTCAGGAGCTGTTGAGGTTCGCTGTGAGCCTAGGCTGACGCCACGGCACGTACACTCTACACCTGGACAACACACCGCCGAGCTCTGTCTCAAAAACCAAAAAAAGAAGCTTTCATCAGAGTCTGTGGAAAGGCACTCGATAAGCTAACTTTGATGAGTAAAACCCATTCTGTTGTTTTGAAGGGTTATTTTTACAATTTTCTCCATGGAGCGTTTTCTTTTTTGAACGGTGTGACCTGATGCTAGATGACGTGCCGCAGATAGACATGCTTATGCAGGCTTTGGAAGCGTAAGAAATTCTTTCAACACTTCCAGATTTTATCGACAAAATTGTGAAAGTAGTCAGTTAACTTCTTCTCATTTATTTCTTTTAAGCTAATTACTTGAATACATTAGAGAATGCCTCTGCTGAGTGCTTGCCTGGTGCTACTCCCCCTTCCTGCCACTAGGCTTCCTAGTCAGGCCACGATGAAAAAATAGTATGAAATAATTAATATTTAATTATATATTAATGATTCGAAAATATAGATAATCATACAAGCACGTACATGTACTTCACTAGCAGGCAGTTTAAAAAGAATGTATATAGAAAGATTATCTACAATATAGATTACTTTTCGTCTTGTTCACTCTCAGCACGTTTACCTCTTAAATGCCTCTCTCACATTCATCCCCCTTTTCTCTATCCGCATGCCACCCTACTCAATTGGCGCAAGTTTCTTGATCTTAAGATATGTGACCTTTTGGTCGATCATTCCTTGCGCTTTTCAGGCTGGGCTGCTCCTGTGCTTATATATATATATATAAGCGAGCATCTCTAGCATATTACCTCGCTAGGCTTCAATACACCATCCCCCGCTAAGTCCATCGCAAATCAAACAATGTTCTCAGACCACTGCGAGATGTTCCCTAGGAGCACACCATTGTCCCAAGTACTGAGAACCCATCATCTCTTGGCTTACATGCTGATTGGTCTTCTTACAAGATCCCCCTGTCCGTCCTGCTAAAAAAAAATCAAACAAGAAAAAAAATACACAAATATATAATATATAATTATTCAGATAGATATAATAAGAACGGATAGTTAAACTCATATCTATCTTATAATATTATATATTATATAATATATATTTTTTTAGAACGGAAAAGATATAATAAAACATACTAAAAAAAAAAAAAGAATATATATATATATAAATATGACATAAGATAGAGAAGAAAAAGTGACGTGGGATCAGAATAAGAATAAAATAAAATATAGAGAGAGAATATAAAGGAATACTTATAAGAAAGGAGAAAAAAAATAGACTCTCAAGTAGTTGGGACTAAATATAAGCGACGAGCACCCATGCCCCGGCTCGATTATATCTATACTACTAGTACTCATATAATCACTTACATATCTATGTTAGTTGGCCAATTAATTTCTTTCTATTTTTTTTTTTTTATGGTAGAGACGGGGTCTCGCTCAGGCTGGTTTTGAACTCCTGACCTTGAGCAATCTGCCTGCCTCGGCCTCCCAGAGTGCTAGGATTACAGGTGTGAGCCACCGTGCCCGGCCTTAGAGGTGTTATTTTTGAAAATGCAAATCTTCCCATATTGAATGGGAAGATTGAATAAACCCTTCAGTGGCTTCCATAGATCTTAAGATAATGTCTGGAATCATTCTGTGACCATTGAGGCCTCTGTAGTACCTTTGGGGCCCCCACTTACCTTCTAGCCACATCTTTAATTACTCTCACTCTTCATGCTCCAATCATACTGGACTTCTCCTGGTAACAAATATGCCACAATTTTTTAAAAATGGTAGGCCTTAACATATGCTCTTCTTTCTGCTTATAACATTTTCTCCTGCCATTCATCTAGTAATACCTCTTCATCCTTCCGATCTTACTTTAAGTGTCACTTTTTAGGGAAGATCCTATCTTACTGCCTAAATTATGTTAAGTCCTCTTGCCCCATTACCAAAGCGTCTTGTACTTATCCTTTCATAGTGGTCACATGGTAGTCTTGTACTTATCCTTTCATAGTGGTCACATGGTAGTTATTTATTGAAGATTTTCCTCGCTCTGCTGTCAGCAACTTGAGTGTCCTGTTAACTTCTGATTAACAAATAAATATTTGATAAATTGAATCTCCAGGGTGGTAAGTTTCTCATCTTCTTTGTATCCCTAGTTTTTTCAAATAGTATGTATTCAAATTGTTGAATGATTGATCTCTAGCGAGGTATATTTTACTTTATGGCCATACAACAATGGGATTAGCATTATACCCACAATTTGGAACACTAACCTCCAAGATTAGAACAATTTGGATTGTTGGTTATCTGATTGTTTTATTCTGATCTTTTTAATGATGTCAGTGTAGAAATTCCTTTCCTGTAATTATGCCAATGTGAGATGGGTTCTAGAAATGCTTTCTCTCAGTGTTTTCAGTTTAATACCTGTTTACTAAGATTTGCCTAGAATATGAGAATGAGAAGTCTATGGCATTCTGTTTACTTTAATTACATTACTTCAGGGTTATGAAATCTTATAAAAATAAAATACTTTTTTTTTTTTTTTTTGAGACAGAGTCTCACTTTGTTGCCCAGGCTAGAGTGAGTGCCCTGGTGTCAGCCTAGCTCACAGCAACCTCAAACTCCTGGGCTCAAGCAATCCTACTGCCTCAGCCTCCCAAGTAGCTGGGACTACAGGCATGCACCACCATGCCCAGCTAATTTTTTCTATATACATTAGTTGGCCAATTAATTTCTTTCTATTTATAGTAGAAACGGAGTCCTACTCTTGCTCAGGCTGGTTTTGAACTCCTGACCTCGAGCAATCCACCCACCTCGGCCTCCCAGAGTGCCAGGATTACATGCGTGAGCCACCGCGCCCTGAAAATACTTTTTATATATGAACAAAAACTTAAAAATGTTCTGACTGTACAACTTTATAATTTTTTAAATTAACTTCAGAAAATTTCTGAGAGCAAACAAAAAATTATAGATTTGTTTGAATTAGTAGAATGCTAGAAATAGACTTTTACTCTGCTCTTTTATAGTCTGTTTTACAAATGACTTATATTTTATCTTGTAGGAGGCAAAAAAATGGCAAGAGAGAAAAGAGGCCCTGGAGGCTGTAGAAGTACTAGTGAAAAATCCCAAACTGGAAGCTGGTGATTATGCAGATTTAGTAAAAGCACTAAAAAAGGTAAATATGAGGACTTTCAACATTGATATTGGAACAACAGACCAGGGTATTGAATTTTTCATCAGTCATTTTTATGTATTACAAATACTTTATTATTTAAGGAGTACTATTGATGGTATTTGAATTATAGGCATACAATGTTAAAAGATTATTTAAAATTATTATCCTAGGTTAGTTTGGTTTTTAATCTTTATCATTTTGGCCTTATGATACTGGATGACTTCTATAAATCTCAAGAAAAAGAGGATCTTCCTGATCTAGAACCAAATGTTCCAGTTTTATAATTCTGTAGGATGAGCTATTTAAATTAGCTATCTTTAATTGGATAAAATATTTGAAGAGGTTTTTTTCAGTAGATAGCATGATTGTATTAGCATGTAAAGCAAAGGGTATCAGGATATGTGGTCAATTATAAAGTAGGCAAGTACTGAAAATAAACATTTTTAGAAAATACTCCTTTGGTATTGCTTAGGTCCAAGCAAGTTGAATGCTGCTGGTGAATATTTTTTTATTTAGTGACTTCTTATAAAATCTGAAAATATAGATCAAACACTGTGGATATATTAATGATTACAGAGCTTGAGAACAAACTCTGAAGGAATCTTCTCAAATACAGCAAGACTGAAATCTTTTTGCTTCCTCAGTCTGAAATTACAGAGGATTAGAATGGCAGAGGGAGGAAGTTAATCTTTAATTATATGCATATATATGGTGATTCTCATTTTTTTGGTAGTTATGTTCTATAAAGTTGCCAAGAGCCAATTTAATGCCAAGAGCACAAAATTAATGAATACTGAACCATTTCTTCTTGAGGAAATACAGGGTCAGGGTCTTGCAACCCTCTGGACACAATATTTTCATCAACTGATCAATACATAACCTTGTTTTATTCTGTTCAACGATACCTTATTTAATCTGTATTGTTGATTCGTTAACATTGAACTCATGGTCAACAGCACTGTTAACTCATGCCTGAATGAAGCTTTTCTAAAAGCTTTTTTGCACTAGGCAGCATTTCAACACTACTCTTAGGGGCCATTTTAAATAGGGAAAGCACCAACAAAATGCACAAAAATGCGAAAAACATGGCACTAAATAGACTATGAAAAAGATACTTATTTATAGTATGAGAGCTGAAACAAGAAGCCAGAGTGTTACCTTGTTCTCCCTCAGCAGGGAATGTGCATATCAGACAACTCAAAAATTTCGCAGCTCTACATTTTGTCTGTGAATGACCAGGAAAGTACTATGAGTATTGATTTTGGGGTTATAAATAAGTTTAACAAGTAGGTGAATTCACAAATATGGATCTATGAATAATGAGGATCGACTGTATTTTCTAATAGTTAGCCTTCCTGTGCTTTCCTCCAGTAGAACTTTGAGGCAGGGATATAATTTGTCAGATCTTAGTTCAGTTATCAGTTTTCCATCTTGATGAGCCACAGA